TTTTCCAGAATGTGACTGCCACACATCTGGCTGTCATTAATAAACTTGTATACGGTCATGTCCTTTCAAGTCGTAAATTCCTAGTAGTGGCAGCCCCAACAGTAGCACCACAGGGCCCATCGGTTCCACTGATCTGTCACCTTCAAGGTGAGCGGAGAAGTTTTCATTTCATTTTTTAAAGGAACCAATTAGTGAACACAGCATGAAGATTCCAAACAGGGAGCAGATTCCCCCGTCTGGGAGCGTGACACGGACCCAAAGCAAAACCACTGACTCTCCTATGGCTGCAGCGCCAGGCTCTCATTTGTTCCTAGGAGAGGAGCATGAAGTGGTGGAGGGACGACAGTGTGAGGAAGGGAAGATCCTAACCTCTCCCTTTCAGAGGAAGTGCCAGACAAGGAATCCCAACCTCCTATTCCCCAAGGCAGGCACCACACCTTTCACAAGAAGCCCCCCACTACCACCAGTACAATCAGCAGGGGACATTCCCTTTCCTGAGACGCAAGCTCACCCTTTGAAGGGCATGGGATAGGGAAGGCCATGTCCTGCTCTTGCCCCAGGACAGCATGTCACGGATCCACAGGATAGGTGCTATGGTCCTACCCTCTCCTCATTCATCTCCCTTTTGGAAACCCAGGCCCCCAGGCAGAGCGCTGTACAACTTGCTTTGCAAAAAGAAATCATGCTGGACTCTCCTCACTCTGCACTTCCCAGCAGCCCGTCACCTCTGCCCCCATGGCCTAGAACACGCTTGGCAATGGCTGGGCAGCAGTTCTGCTGTGGTGCTGCCGGGGCCCAGAACGGGGATGGAGAGCACGGGACACTCTCCTAGCTACCAGTTCTGTTATTTGTTCTAGAAATGTCTCGCCAACCTCTTTCTGATTTGCTGGACTATAGCAGACCCCTACCATGAGATCATCCCTATTTTCCCCCTTTTATCTTTACCCAGAGACTTTCAACTGGTCTGCCTCCTACCTCCGTCTGGCCCTCAGAACAGGTGTATATATTCTTGCTGTATAATACACGTCTCCTCCCTTTTGCCCCGGCTGTCCTTTCTGAAGAAGCTGTACCCCTCTGTAACAATATTCCAGTCAGCAGCTTTATCCCAAGTCTCTATGACGCTAGTTAAGTCATTTAACTTACACACTAGTACTTCCAGTTCTTCCTGGTTGTTCCCCATACTCCTTCCAGTTGTGTACAGACTTGGGCAGATTGCCCATCAACTTCCCCCTTGTTGCTCTTATGATCCTATTGGAATTTTCCATGTCCCACCCAGACATCTAGCCCTCGGTTAAGGCTGTCTTTTTTCTGCTTACCTATGGGCTTTTGTCACCTGCCCCCGGAGCCCTAATTTAACGCCCTCCTCACGAGGTTGGCTCCCCCCTTCAGCCATGGAAATGAATGATCTTGGGCATCTTTGAAAGGGCTTCTTCCTCTAGACACAGGAAGCTGGAACCCTACATACCTCCAAAGAGAGGAGCTCTCACCCTGCGTGCTCTGCCGAGGCTTCGCACACAACACTGGAAGGTAACGGGCTGGCTAAGGGGAAATTCAGAGGGTACCTTACGGAGGAATCTGGGATGCAGTCACAAAGACACTTCACCCTTGTGAAAACGGTGCTCAGCAGGTCTGCCGCGAGGGCCCCACCCTCCCGCACCCCTCTAGGGGAGTAATCACCACAAGTAGGGGAACCATCATGGAGAGGTGCAGAAGGGAGCAAGAAGCCAAAGGTAAGTGCTGCTGTTGACATCACAGGGAAAGCCACGTCCACTTAGCAGACTAGCATTAAGCATTAGCATGCAGAGGGTCCCCTGTTGTTAAGGCTGAATTGAACATACTGGGAGCAGGCGCTCTCTCTATTGGATATCCATCCAAAAACCATGCTGGCAGGTTGGGAAGCTGGACTGGGGTGGTTTGTCTTGCCCTTATTCGGAGATAGCAGGCCTGGGAACAGCTGTAGGTAGATGCATGGGCGGGCTGCCAGCTGCAGAACGATGGTGAACCAGAACTACCTCAGCCACAAGGAAGGTCTGAGGCTCACTGTGGCCCTGCCAAGCTTGATTTTCCTAAGGATGTGGGGCAGGAGGGGAGGGGAGCTGAGCTGCCCACTGCACCAGGAAGGCGTCCCCCTAGACTGGAGACCTGCCCAGCTTGGGAACAATAAGTCAGGCACTTTTTGTTCCACTGGGTTCCAAAGAGATCTCACAACGGGACACCCCTTTGGTGAAAGATTTGCTGCACTGTCAACAGGTGGAGTTCCCCCTTGTAATCCCTGTGCAAGCACCTGCAGCGGCTGGCTGCTAGGGAGTGCACTACCCCTGGAACGTGAACTGCCGAAAGCGCGCTCTGATGGGGGATGCACCAGTTCCAGAGCTGGCCCATGCAGAATGAAGTGGATCTCGCTCCTCCCTGCTTGTTTATGCATGAGACAGAGATCATGTCGTCTGACCTGACCTGAATGTGCATGGACCAGGCAATGGGTAGAAATATCTTGCATGCCTTGTGGACTGCACAAAGCTCAAGCAGGTTGATGTGCATCCTGGATTCCTGCAGGGACCAGGAGCCTTGGGCTGTCTGGTCATGTAGATGCACGCCCCATCCCAATAGAGAGGCATCCATGAGTGTTCTTGGAGGGAGGGGGAAAATGAAGGGACCACTGTGGCACCTTCATCCACATCTGGCTGCATGGAACTCTGTTTATGGACAGACGGCAGGCAAAGTCAGATCACCCAGGAATTGAATCTATGTAGGCAGGGCACCCACTGGATATTCTATACCTAGGGGCTAGCCCATTTAACCATCCCTACCAGAGTCCAACCTGTGTCCAATTCAATCTTGCTTGGTGACCAAGCCCCTAACAAAGAGCTGTGCAGAGCAAAGAACCCCCTCAAACAAATTCTACGTGTTTGATTCTGAAGATAAGGAAGGTCCCTCTACAGCAGATGTCCGACCCCCTCGGCCAACTCCAAAAAGACAAAATCTATCACAGAGAAGGGAAATATTTACACACGTTAGTCTAGCTCCAGTTAAATATTATGCTTAGCTGTCTGGAGTCTGTGTTCTCAGGCTATGTCTATGAAATCAAAGATTAAACTTCATAACAATTATGAAGCTGCGCTGCTCAAATTCAAAGGGAGTTAAAGGCCATTAAAATAGTTTTACTGCTGGTATTAAAATGAAATTACTCTGTCTTCTCCAGGACACCTGGAGCCGAAACCTTCTGAACTCTCCTATCAACACACACGGAAAGGCTCCGAGCAGCACTGATAACCAAGGCAGCACCTCTGCTCTGCAGGTTCTGTGAAAGCATGTGAACAATGCCTGAGAGCGCTTTGAAGCAGCCTGGGAAGGAGGGAGAGCCTCTTCTCTCCGGAAAATGTGTTTAGTGGAAAGTAAGCAAGTTGTCAGGGGAAAAGCTGACAATGTTGATGCCAACAGTTGTACTAGGAACAAACAGCCAAGCAGATTAGGTTACGAGAACGAGAAATGCCTCTGACAAGCCCACGTCAATGCCGGGCTTTCAGGGACAATGTGTGCTTCGGCCACCTTCACGGCCTTGGTGCCACAGGCCCTAGGGGCAAAACTCCCTGCCAGTGCCCGCAGCCCCTTTGCGTGGGGTCCCATGCGCACTAGTAGCTCCAATACAGCCAGTGCCTCTAGGGGCTCACTGCCAGCTCCAGCAGTTTGGCCGAGAGTTACAGGGCTGGGAACTGAGAGAGATGGCGACAAAGAGGGCTCTGTGGTCTGGGTCTCTTTACAGCGCCTCACCTTTTCTGGAGGAATTTTATTTTTTGCGGGGGAGGGGGCGTTCAGGCTGGGAATACACCAGGGGGCACAGACAGCACCAGTCTCAGCTCCCTTCTCTCTCCCCTCCTCCCCTGGGGAGTCTGCCATACCCACCACAGCCAGGGGCCGTCCTCAGCCTCCCCATTGGGGCCTGCAGCATCCCAAGAAGCTGAGTGGCCTCCTTCACCCTCCCCAATAATGGGGGGGTCTGCAGCCCTGGTTTGTTGTAATTAATTCCTTGCTCCTTCTTGGAGTGTCTGTGGTTTATTCTGCTGTGGCGATCGAGAGATCACTGTAGGCTGCTGGGATCCCTCTCCCCTACCCCGTCATTGCCTGGAGACCTGAGCCCTTCATAAGCACTTTTAATGTGTGTCCATAACATGGCAACCCCGTCTGTCTCTCGAAGTTCTACTCCCCAGCTAATGCAAACATTACCAGGAATAGAGCATTGTCTCAGCTCCGTCTGGGCCATTATCATTTTATATTTGCTCTTTAATATTTACTGGGTTCATGCAAAGTGCATGCTCTGAGGGAAAAAAAATGAGCCGCAGTTTAGATCCAAATTTAGTAATTGCTGCAGCCCCATCTGACATGGATGGTTAGCAGGGAGATCTCCACAACACTTCACTTTCCACTGCATTCTGCATAGCGACCTGGCCCCCATGTAGCAGGCACCCTGGGCTGCCACCTACAAGAGTCTTCACAGCCCCTCCATCACATTTAGCAAATCCCATATACCCAAACATTCAGCATTGCTGGTAGAACAACCAAAGAGACATTGTCAGGCTACAGTGATAGGCATGTTGGTTTCCGAGCCAGACTGCAGCTCGTTGGAGCTAAATACGTGCTATTTGTAACACCCGAGTTTATCAAAGCAAAAAGAATTTGAAAAATTGAATTTACGTGTCACTATTGATGCTGCTTGTTTGCCTTTTTCTTGAGTTGTTCCCATTAAAATGCTTACGTTTAATGGAAACTTTTGTGTTGGCTTTTGGTTTTGTAAACCCTGTTTTTGGGAAAACTTCCGTGTCAGCCCACTGTGACCTGACTGTTTCTTTAGTCAAAGAGAGGAGATATTTCTCAGACTGGCCTTTCCTAAGCCACGTAGATGCTTATTGGCACAGTACTGGGGTGTCAGCTGGCTTTCGAATACCTGCTAGCTAGCAAAGGACTAGCCCTGGCTCCTGGTGCCAGAGCTAACCTCGCAGCCTTACCTGTTAACGTGAGGTTGCTGTATGTGTTTGAGAACTGCTCCTTTAACAAAACCAAATGCATCTGAGCTGCCTTTTCTCGCTGCAGTTCCAACATAATGTCTGGGTGCTGGGCAATCTTACAGCCTTTCTGCTTGTCCAGGGCAATGTCGCTGCGGACAATGTCTAGAGGGAGAGGAGAGAGAGAAAAAGGGAGACAGACAAACCTCAGCTTTCAATTCCACCCAAAGGAGCCAGATGCTCGACTCCGAACCAGCCAACACTACAAGCAATAAACATTCCCCGATCACACAAAACGCAAGCCAAGGGGCAGCCCCCGGGGGCCCATCCACCCCATTTACCTTCTCAGCTCAAGCCCTAGATCATCTGCAGACCTCACTTCTTATCTCCCACTAGAATGTCAAGCCACTCTCTCTAATGCAGCCCCGTGGAGTGGCTGGCCCCCTGGCAGTTTATCACTCTAACTCACAATTATTACCTTTCCTTCACCGGAAAGTTTTGTCTAAAGTCTTCCAATGTTTATATCATGTCTCCTTGTTTCTGGTTTCTTTGCCAGCGATAACTACAGTGAGCTAAATGCCTCCCTGGTGTAAGGCCACTGGTTTCCCATACCGCCAGATACACCAGGGAGGGGTTTGGCTCAAAGTCTCTGCTCCAGCACTATTCATCCTTAGTGCAACGTTCAAACCTTGGATTAAATCTGTACGGATTATAACCCTGGGAACAGCTCCCGTGGCACCTTCCCATCCTTGCTCCCCCCACATCAAGAATGTGGTGCAGATACTTGGTTAGCACTTCGTTTCTCTCCATATCAGTATTGTATGGGTCACATTGTTGATCATGACATAGCCTTCCCATCACAGCCCCACACAAAACTACTTGCCCGCTGTGGAGACTTGAGCGCAAAGAGAAAGGAAAAAGGAGAGAAAAATAAGTTGTAGCTTCCCCTCTATTCATAATACACTGATATTCCACAGGTTCACCCCACCTAACTAGCTAGCCGATACAATACGCAAGGACAGCGGGAGCATTCTCGCAGTGTTACAGAAGGCTGCGTTTTACTCAGTCTATTTTTTATCTTATCAGCTGCACATTCCTTTCCAAAAATAAACCCCTGTGGGGAGGCACCTTTGGACCCCAAAGAGCGTGTTTGTGTTCTGATCCACTTGTTGGTCTCGCAGAATGTGTGTGTCCCCTACTACTATTTACTCTGCAATTCCAGTACAGCGTCACAGATTGCATATCAGAAGCACCAGGTGGTCAGAGCTGAGAGCCTCCCCTGCACGCAGGCCCTTATCTGGCAGGGCTATATACCCTTGTTTGCTTAGTGCCCTATTGTTTCCGGTAGGGTCATTACATGCAGACTCTGCCCAGCCTGTAGCCATCCCATTTTGTAACGGGCCTGACTGCAGGCCTTGGACGGGTAACCATGCAGCTTTGGAATCCATCTGATTGACATTTGGCCCAGTTGTGCCCCTGAGAGCTGCCCTGATCTTCCCTGTCCAAGTGCAGAAGAGCAAGGATGGCGGGTGGCTGCCTTTGCAGCCCCATTCCATCCTGTTCCAGGACCCTGTGGCGAGCCATCCAGGGGTGGGATCAGAGTGCAGGGAGTGGGCTGGCTGGGGGCACACCTTGGCCCTTCAGTGCCCCACCTCTGTGTCAGGAATTAAGGCGGGAAGGGGGATGGGGGTCCTGATACTTTGGGGATCTATCGGGTTTCCTGTGGCTCACGCCACAGAAGTGCAAACTTTGCCCCAATTACACAATGTGGGGAACCTCAGAGTTTTACCCCCACCCTCTGCTCCCCCTGTAGTCCCTTCCTGCAGGAGCCGATTGCTCCTCAACCCCTATTCGGAAGAACTAGTCTAACCTGTTGATGTTCTCCAGCTCGAGTTCAACTGTGAGCCCAGCACTGTGCAGCTCCCGGCCCCCCGCCAATATCAGGAGGCAAACCCAGCTGTGCAGAGACCTCTCTGGGGCCCCAGGCCTGCCGTGCTCTGCACCCAAGCCATCTTATCCTCTGACCACCCGATCTCCCACGCTAAGCAGGATGGAGCTCACATTAGTGCTTGGATGGAGCTCGACAAGGGACACCGGGGTGCTGAAGGAAGTGGTGCTGGTTATTCATGTAAGGGGCCATCTTCCCTCCAAATCAGCACCGAGTCCCCGGCAGTGGCATGGTGCTAGGAGGTGCCATCTCTTGACAGAGCTCTAGTTCACTTTCCGTCAGTGAAGATGCGTCCCCACTTCCTCTTGTACCAGCTGCTCTCTAACCTTCCTGGGCACAGGGAGGATGCAGAGTTGGACAGCACATCAGCTCCCTCAGGGCTTGCAGGACGCCTGCACGCTCCCAGGTCCCTGGCAGCTTTTCTTGCTTGAAGGAGACACAGAGGATCTCCGTTATCACAGGGTCAGGTGCCCCTCGTGAGGCTTTGCCTGCCGGGGGCAGGGATCAGCTCTGGAGATGGTGGATTGGAATTGCTCCTCCAGGGTTCCTGAGCAACACGGCCCCACGGAGGAAACTCTGGAGAGCCAAGTAGCAGCTCTGGTCCTGACGTAGAGCCTGGTAGTGGGCTGTGCGCCATGGCCAGGCAAGCACCGTAGGCACCGGAGTTGCCAGGCACGAAGACTCCTCCACTATCAGCCTGCATCCTTCCCCAAGGGCCCCAGACCCCTGCTGCAGTGACCCCCCAACTGTCTCTGCTCCCTAACTCTTCACAGGGACCCTGCCTGTGGCCCCCAT